ATATATAGTACATCTGTGATTGTGTGATTCACGGAGCAACGTGTGTAGCCCCACAGGCTATCTGGGAGAGTAACCGTCAAATAAGCGAGATGAATTCATTTTGGTTAAAATTCAGAAGGTGCATGGCCAGCGTTGATTCGTATCGCTCGCAGGAGGTGGGTGGGTGGGTGGGGGAGGTGGCACAATAAGGCTGGTTCGATGCACGGCTTGCTTAGCCATTCCCCCCGTGCCGATCCGATCCGAGCCGAGCCGCCTTACAATGGGGAAAATTGTTGTACGCCTTTGCTCCACGCGCTCTGCGAGGAGGAAGGCTGGGGAGGAATGGACGGTGCGTCGCTGCGTGCACCACGTCTCTCATCCTCGCTGGAACGCCGTTGCACTCGCTCTCGATCCATTTGCGCACGCGATGCACACTCGCTTAGGCCAATATGCGGATGACGCGTAGGTGGACGAGGAGGACCCGGGTGACGTAGGGACATACCTCGGTCAAACCGGGATGTCGTCGCAACAACAACAAACAAACAACCAAACAAACTAAAAGCACGCAAAATGTTGAACAGTTTGCTTTACCGCTTGACTTCTTCGTATCCCTTCATTCACCAGATACTGACGGAGATGTGAGACTCGGGGGTGAATAATGTTGAGTTATCCTCGCTTTTTGCTGTTGTTGTTATTATATCCTCTCTCCCCTACCCGCTGCGTGGATTTAAAGCGCACCGCAGGGAGCGTTCGCGCTGTTTGGTGGCCGTGGGGGTTTCGCGTTTCGAGATTCCAAGAGCGGCGCACGTGTTTATTGAAATATGCGAAGAGGGGTGGCACGCAGATTGCTTGCGCGTCCTCGCCTTCCTACTCCCTGCAACTGGCTTCGGCGGCAACGCGGCGGGGAGAGATCGCTGGGCTGGGTTGTTGAGTGGGAGGGGTCTGCAAGGAGAGTTTAATAATAATAATGAATAAGGTTGTTCCCGCTGGCATGCAGTAATATCGGAGCGCCAACAAAACGAACGCGTGCTCTTTGCTACGAAAGGGAAGGAGACTCCACGGATCCACACAAACCGGCTTGCGTGCCCAACACGCGAATAATAATGATGATAATATATAGTTCTGTATAATATATTGCAATATATAAATCAACAAACATAAACATCGGCCGTTTCGTAACGTAAGTTACAAGACAGTATGGTAAAACAATAGCCTTTCAATTATGAAGCATGTGACAGCAGTAGCAATGTTTGGAAGATGTAACTCAGCCAGCACAGTAAAATAGTAAATCTCGAGACGCAAAAAAACCCTGCTGCATCCATCCACTGCTGCTGGGACCGCCGTCGCGAGCTGCCGAGGGGTGTGGGCTCTCGTGGTGTGTGCTGCTGCTACTGCTGCTACTGCTGCTATTGCTACTGCTGTTGCTGCTACTGCTGTTTTTGCTACTGCTGCTGCTTTTGCTACTGCTGCTACTGCTGCTACGACTGCTGCTACTGCTGTTGCTACTGCTGTTGCTGCTACTGCTGTTGCTGCTACTGCTGTTTTTGCTACTGCTGCTGCTTTTGCTACTGCTGCTACTGCTGCTACGACTGCTGCTACTGCTGTTGCTACTGCTGTTGCTGCTACTGCTGTTGCTGCTACTGCTGTTGCTACTGCTGTTGCTACTGCTGCTGTTGCTACTGCTGCTGTTGCTACTACTGCTGCTGCTACTGCTGCTACTGCTGCTGTTGCTACTGCTGCTGCTACTGCTGCTGTTGCTACTGCTACTACTGCTGCTACGACTGCTACTGCTGTTGCTACTGCTGTTGTTGCTACTGCTGTTGCATCTGCGTCCGCTTTAAGGACTCGACCCTCGCGGACTCCAGAAGGTGGACACCTTCCCCCTCCCCCCCCCCCTCGAAGCGCGCGCGCTCCTCCGCGATCCAACATCCCCCCAACCTCCACCCCCACCCCACCTCCCTGCACTCCCTCAACTCATCCCCCCCCCAACTCCACCCCCCCCGCAACCGACCTCCTTTTCCCGACAGCTCCAATCGGAGCAGCCCTCGGGAGCAGCGAGCGGGCGCCCCTTTGCGCAAGCCCGAGCTAAGACGATGACGATGGTGGCGGCGGCTCTTGGTGTTGTGCCGGGCAGCGAGCTCCGAGACCCGCAGCACGCGCAGCGTCGCTGCGCTCGTGTCCTGGAGGGGCCGGAGTTGACGGAGCAGCGCCCATCGTTCGTTTTGTCGCGGGGGGTGAGCGGCGAGGTCCCTCGCCTCCGACCGGGCTGTGGCGTCGGGGTGCGGGTTGGCTGGGCGTGAGGAAGGAGGGGTGTGTGGAGAGAGTGGGGTGGGTGGGTGGGGAGTTGAGAGGATTTATTTTGTTTTGGGTGGCGGAGAAGAGGGAGCGTGGGGGGCTGTCCGAGAAGAGTGCGGGAGCTGGAGAAAGAGGAGCGAGCGAGGGAGCGAGCGAGGAGCCAACCAGCCCAACGAAAGAGGAGGAGGGGAGGGGTGGTGGACTGTGGTGGGATTTTTTGTTGTGGTTTTTTTTCTCTCTCTCTCTCTGCTGCCGAGCCCTGCTCTTGTAATTACTCATTCAAGCGCCAGCGTCCCAGACTCCTCACTAAATGGGCTGTTTTACATTCTAGCCTCGGCCACGAAGACGGTAAGTAGACAATTATAGCTGTCACTGTAATTCGATTAGCGTTCCCCGGCTGGAAACGTGTATGGAACATGACCCGTGCACCCATGGCGTGCGTCTGCGGGAACCCAACACGTACACACATCACATGTTTTTGCTCCGACATATCAGCGATATTCTCTGTTTAAAGCCACTCAGTGTTTACTTTCGACGTGTCGTTTTTGTTGTTGTTGTTGATGGAATAAAAAAAAATCGCAGTGCAGCGACTTTCGTTGCAAGGGGGGTGGAGGGGGGGGTATGTAATCACTTTAAGCTGAGCCCATAATTATGTCCACTACATAATAGACGTGTTAAACTGACGGGTGTGTAGCCGATGGAGAGGCGATAAAGGTGCGTGATGCTCACGGATGACAGAAATAAACGCGCTGCGTCGCGCGGACCAAGGAAATGATCGCTAAATGCTTACGACGCAGCAACTCGTTTACGGATCGAATCTTCGCTGCATGTGAGCTTACAACGCAACCGTTACACACAACCCATCTCAGCTGCTTTAAAACGTTCACCATTTAGCAGCCGCGCTTCCTGCGATTACTAACTAATTCATCGTTGGGTGTGGAGGGTTTTGGATGTGGGGGGAGGGGGCAGCATTCGTATGCTCATTTCCAAGAATTAAAAGGTCGATGTTAATTTTCCGTAGCGCGATCTGTTTTGGGTGTTTGGAGAGCAAAACGCTAGCGCGTGTCAGACTCGATTGTAAACCACGCACACAAGACGCGGTGTCACTGAATGCGAGACATTAGTCCGGGTGTAGGCGAGATACACGCTGGGCACCAAGGCGCTCTCTGCCTCAAGGAGTGGGATTCGTTGCCATTGGGTGCCTCGGCGCGCACAATGGAAAGGGCTCACGGCCCTCGCATAGAAAGTGGTGGTGGGGTGGGGTGGGGGGAAAAAAAGGAACATTCATAAAAGGCTGCATCAAAAAAAAATTCAAGCTGCGCACATTCCTGCCGGAGTGTAATCGTGGCCCAGTTGCATGCATCTCACAAGCCGACGCGTGTTTTGCGTGGTTCTGAAACCGACCAGTGTTATTCGACTTGATATTGTGTGTTTGTTGTTGTTTAAACGGTGGTAATCCTTAGTTGGAGTGCAAATTGCAATCGCGTTTGCTCCGATCTGTCGTCAGTGCTAAACGCGGCATGACCGCAGTGAGGCCGAGCTAGAGACGGGCGAAATGCGATTGGGGGAGGGGGGGCGACTTTTAATCGGAGATTAATAAACAAACAAAAAGCTTTAAACGGACCAGCAACTCGTGCAATAATATTATGATTGTTATAAGTCATTGTCGCCGGTGACATTTTTCGATCCGGTTTATTCGTGTCCAATCGATCGATTCGACATGCCGTATTGAAGTCGCAGTTGCCACATAGGGAGAGGAAATGATTTCAGCTTTTATCCAGCGCTGCGTGGAGGTTACAGGAACGGGCTACTCCACCCACATCCCCGCACGTTATCACCTACCTCCAGAGAGAGAGAGAGAAGGAAGCGGCATCTCCCTTTAGCAATGAGATTTTACAGTCGAAGCTAAGCCCTGCCAAGATACAGTTCACCAGCCCCAGGGTGTCTGTATATGAACGCGCGCCTCTCTATACGGTTCCAAATTGGCGAGCCCTTTTGGGGCTATGCGGTTCAGCATCACTGAGAAGCCAGGACACTGCTGGCAAATCGTGAATGCTATTTTGTTAGTGCGAATGAAAACGCAGCACGTAAACACAAATAAAAACAAGCGCACACGCAGAAACACGGTGGGCAATTGGAGAAAGTTAATCGATCGCCTGCGTTCAAAACCAATTTGAGAGATGTTACTGCGAAATAAAATTTCGAAACCAAAAAAACCGGTCACAAAAATGCAGCAATGCGGCTATATATTTGGCGAGTGCAACTTACGTGACGGGGTAGAGTCCGGCAGAGCATGGGAATGATTGCGTCCGATATTTACGCGGAGCGTCCCATTAATACAACGCTACTTTGGCTGCGTGAACCCCGTAATGTGTTTCGTGATGCAGTTGCAGCGGCACCAGACCGTTTTATAGTTTAAAAAAAAAAACCCTTCACCATCTCCTCCTCTTGCAACTCCTCCGCGAACAGGCGCACGCACGCATCCACACACACACACAAAATATTCAACACCAACAAAACAAAAAAAGGGGCACGGGACCGTTGCCCGAACCGTCCGTTCCCGACCATTGCCACGAGGTGGAGCCATTTGATCAAAATCCGTTCGGCTTTTCGACTTCGCTTGCGGAGTGCAGAGAGAGAGAGACACAGGGCGGTGGAGGGGGGGTGGAGAGCAAGGGAGAGGATGTGTGGGGGGGTGGGAGAGGGCAAGGGAGAGGATGTGTGTGTGGGGAGACTCGTAACGCGAGGGAGCGCAGATTCTCCACTTTTAGACAGCGCCGATTATCATCGCGGTCGCGCGCCGCCTGTTCAACTGCGCCGCGCACCGCGCACGCGTCCGGCCTCAGCCTCGCTAGGGGAGAGACGAAGGCGACCGGGGAACAGAGGGAGGGGAGGGGGGGGTAGGAGGTGGTGGGGGTTAAAAAATGTAAGAGGGGACTCTAATGCCGCGCTACGGGTGTGGGGTTGTGTTTTTGTGTGTGTGTGCGTGTGTGTCGTCTTCTCTGCTCCCACCGTGACATTTATTTTGTCTCAATTCGATTCGCGCTCCTCGCCCGCGAAGCCGTCTCTCGTCGTTGGTCGGCGTGTTCGTTGCGATTTAACAGCACGGTGGGCTGCGTCGTAGTGACGACAATAATAATAACGACGACGATGATGATGATGATGATGCGTAAACATGCGTAAAAAAAGGGATTCGAGCGCCGTAAACTGTTAACCCCGGCGCGTTAAGACGAATTAACGGGGCGATGGACAAAAGTAAAGGTTTGCGCACACAAGTTAGATATAACGCATTAATCACGCAAGAGACATAACGCGATTAACGGGATAAAGGCGAGCTTGAGCCGAGCGGTTAGCCGGGCTAGTCGGATAAAGTGCAGTCGGGTGCCTGAAGCGCTCCCGTGGCAGCTTTCTTATTCCTCTTCCTCCTCCTCCTCTTGTTGTTGTTTTGCGCGCGCGGCTCCCGTTCGTTCCGCGCCGCACTGCATGGGAATAATGCCCCAGCGGGCGGGTCCGGGGGGGTCCCGTCCGCTCGAGACGCCGCCACCGCCGCCTCTGATGCTACTGCCGCCACCACCACCACCACCGCCACCACCACCACAGTTCATCTCTCGCTTACAGCAGAAGGAGGAGCCGGGCGTGATCGGCTAACAGCGGCGCGGGAGTGCGAGTTTCCGCTGTGGCATCGACTGCGCGACCCTCCTCCTCCTCCTGCCCCCCCCGGCCCACCGCGACTCCCCCGCCACTGCCACCGCTGGCGTCGCAGCAGCACCCTGCGTGGCCCCGCGGCGGAGGACGATGCCGTCCCCTCGAGTGCTCCGCTTGCTTCTGGCCGCCTGCGTGTCGTGTCGTCTCGCGTGCCTGGCCTCGGGACTCTGCGGCGCCGAGACGCGAGCCGAGGGGGTCTTCATGGGGCGCTTCGCGTTCGGTGGAGCGCAAGGCGCGCCGCGCAACGCGTCCGCGTGCTGCAGCAGGCTGGTGGTGAACCCGGACCCCGGGAGCCACGTGCTGCTGCTCAGGTTTACCAAAGGGAACGGCTCCTGCGCGGAATACAAGCTCGGGGCGCACGCGTACGACGCTCGAGGCACCCCCGCCGTAGCGGAGGAGGAGGAGGTGGTGGAGGAGGAGGAGGAGGAGGAGACGGAAGACGCGTTCTTGGATGTGTGCGACTCTGGCGGCCGCGTAACTTTCATGCAGAGCGAGAGAAAGTACGTGAAGCTGCAGTGCACTCATGAGGAGGCGCGGGGCAATCGGCCGTCGCTCTCCGGAGCCCTCTCGACACAATCGTCGTCGTCGTCGTCGCCATCCAACAACTGGATTTCGGTGGATTACATCGTGATGGATAAAAGCGGGGCGAACGTCGACGCTTGCCGCCTCTTCTGCGACTGGCTCGCGAGCTGCTGGTGTACCGAGAACCCCAGGGGTCATTGCGCGGTGGACAAATCTCCCTGCTCTTGCCTTGCCCCTCGATCGGACGAGGAGGGCATTGGCCTCGACTCTGGGCCCTGCAACGGGAGGAGCGAAGGGGCCGGCTCCAGGCACCTGCTTTTCGTGGCGCACGACTGCGATAAGGCGTCGTCGTTATCAGGTGAGGCTGCTTATGAGATGCTGTAATAGAATTCAGATAGTATCTTTCCCAGGGGATTTGCTCGGGAGTTTTAGATAAACGATTTACCAGGGGTAGACTGTTCAACGGGCGCTGTGAAAAAAAAGACATGCGCTTGATATATGAGAGGTTTGTCCATTGCGCCCACGTTGCGCGATTCTAAACATTAAATCTTATCAAAGACCCAACGCGGGAGACTCGGGTCAGCGCGTCGCTGTGCAATAACTGTAGCTAGACACGTGTGTGTGTGTGTTTCAGCTAAGTTATTAAAAACAAAATATCATTGGCACGCTGATAATGGAGGGGAGGGAATCGTAAATCTGCGAGTCTGGCTTTCGGTTCACGCACAGACGCCTAATGACAATAAGTGACGCGCACGTTTCAGTGAAATTCCAAATTGAGATGCAAATGAGGGAGGGAATATTTTATAACGGCCGATTTAAATGACCATCCGAATCTAACGGCATCCCAAATCTGGCATTTGTATTACGTATTTTATTGTGTCATGGGTATTGTGCACAGCAATCGGGTTTTATATATATTAAAAAAGTACATGCACTGCAAGAACATTCTTAGAACATTTTTAAGCATTTGTGGTAAAAAAAAAATTTACAGATCCGTTTGACCTAACACTGCAGGGCTATGCGAAATTTCCACCCCTGACATGTCTTAAAAGTGTGTAATTATGCAGTGCCCAGCTATGGTGTCATGTGATGCTTCTGTATATCCCACGGAAATTTAAATTGTACTTTATTTGAAAGTGGCTTTCCTCTCATGGATAAGTGTCCGGTAAACGAAGTGGCTCGGTGATCTCTCACCCTTGTATTACTCAGAGGCTGCACATCATGAATATTTTAATAATATTGGGGGTGGTTTAAGTGACATTTCACCATGAATCTGCTGCCACATTTATGTTTGTGCAGCAATAACATCCATCAGTTATCAACATATACGTAACATGTTGCAGTGCCAGTGAGTAAAAGACGTTTCCCCGTGTAAAGCAGATTGTCTCGTGCAACAAATGATGCATTGCATCACTTAAGCATTGAGTGCAGGGTACGGACAAAAGTAGTCACTGCAATTGTAGTGTTGGAACTGCAGTCATATTATTAAGCAGCATGTGGCAATCGGAACGATCTTATGATTTGTGGCATAGGTTACAGAGTCTGGTACATCGTCTCTTGAAACTTTTTTTTTTAATAGCCATGACCGTAATGAATGGGCCCGCATTGCACGCTTGTGCCGATGGTGCCATTCAAAGAGCCGGTGCGCTCAATGGAAAATTTGAGCAAAGCCGCATTTTTTTCACGGTTCATTTTTGGTCATGCAAAATGCGCTCTGGCTCTCTGTACATAATCTTACTGGCAGTCAGGTAATGCACCGAATGGAGCCGTAATTAGAACACGCGTTTGGCTTGTGTACTTACGCAGTCTCTACAAGGCATAGTTACAGAGAGGGAAATAACTGCGTTTGTCTTGGCAGGAGGAAGCAGTTGGCAGTACAGTATATTGCACAATTTCTGCCCAACAGTGCCTCCCTTTGGGCTGTGATAACTGCTTTCATTTGTTATAATTGATTACGGACTGACCTACATCTTCACCGACGTTTACGGGAGAAAAGTGTTGGAAGTAATTGGTATTAGGTGCGAGGAAGTGATGGCTCTTAGTGTTTTTTTTTTAATATAAGCACACGCGGCTTAGATGAGGAAACTATATTGCATGGTACGTTTGCTTGCTATGAGAGGCTCCCAATATCGTTTAATAATGGGAATATTTGTACTTGAAAAGTAATCATTCATTTTCTTGCATGGCATGCTGTTGCATCTTGCCAGTTTATTATTGAAATGAATTCTTACCTCAATAACAGGGCAATACATTTTCATTTGGAGTACATTGCCATGCCCTGTCAGTATATAAAGCATGCAAGCGTTCACTTAAAATTGTACAGGAAATATATATAGCACACTTATTGTCATTATTTTGGGCACAATGTGGCCTGTGGGAAATGTTTTTTTGTCAAAGCAAATTCTCAATAATTCGGTATAATAAAATTGAATAATGTAAAAAGGCACATGTGCCCTTACAGTATTTAAAACGCACATTAAAACACACACCTGTTACATAAAAATATTATTACCATTGCGTTAGATGTAATACATAACACATGGTTTTCTAACATGGGTATACCTGTTGATGGAGCACCACACATCTCATCTCACAGTACGGGCAATTCCTGAACACCGCAAGTCAATTGGTTTGCTGATGCCCTTTCTCCAGGGACCCTTAGCTTTCTGCGGAGCCAATGCCACCATCGTCATCACCGTCATCACCGTCATCAGCAGTGCGCCGTGTGTTCCGATTGCAGTGCCGTGGTCTTCGTGGGGCAGCTGCTCGGAGCCGTGCGGCGGTGGGCTGCAGATGCGGAGCCGGGCATGCAGTGGTCCGTGCCAATGGGAGAATGTGTGGGAGCGTGGGCGGACCTGTAGTGGATTAAGCGAGGAGTGGCGCGAGTGCAATCGCCACAGTTGTGACAGTAAGTAGCTCTGAGCGTGACGCGGTAATCCTCTCCTCCTGGAGGCGCAGCTTATCAGCTCATTCGCCGTCAGGTCAGCTGCCTCCTGGCGCTTTGTGCCGTTAACCACATTTTTTTTTGTTGGATTCGCGGTTACAAAATCAAGGCCAGCGCACTCGTGCGAATATTCATATGAGTGGCAAATACGTGCCATCTAATTTCTGTCTTGTATCTCATGAGGTTATGTCGTGAAAGGCCCGTTGAAATTGTGGGTCAGACCCCAGTAATGAAAAATCAGCGAAAGCAAATTGGTGAAAAATCAACGGTTTAATTTTGGTCGTGATTTTTTTTATATATAATATAAAAATTGGCAATAGTCTACCTCGAACAATGACAAAATATTAATTTACTAAAGAAAATGTGTTTTTTGATGGCTTTTGACAAAATGTGTTTTTGTATTGTACTAATTATTTAAATGAATGAGAAGACAAATTACAGCAATTAATACCATTTAACGATTAGCCACTTAGGTGACACATCCACACAATAAATTAGTCTGACATAAATCTGAATTTAAACCATATTAATTCAAAATTTCAAGTTTATTTTTCACACTTAATCCAATTAAGTTCGCATTAAAATGTAATTTTAATACAAAATATATCTAGTATGTGTGTATATATACACATGCACTTGCATTGCTTCCTCACTAATTGTCCCTTTACAAGACTGGCGGGTTTTTTTTTTCAAGTTCGCCTATTTTCCATTTCAGGCCGATGGGAATCAGGCTACACTGCACATCACACTCACTCACTGCGATCTGGCATCAAAGACACAGACGGCAGCTGGGATCAAATTCCTGCAATGGGATCACGATCAGGTAACTCGTCCTTCTGCAGTCGGTCACGCCTGATGCTGACAACCAAAGTGTATTTCACCACACCTTTCGTGGCATGTTTTTTCTCACACACAGCTCGATAATCTCGATAATTACCTTAATAATTAAGGTTGAATAGAGACCGCATCAGAAATAAAACCTAAAACTCACATTTGTAAATAAAGGTCACTTCAAAATATTGGTTTTCAACCAAACGTCTGTGGATCGATATGGGGGTTTTGTGAACCACTCCAGCATGATCCACAGGGGGTCCTCAGCCACAAAGGAGTTCACAACACAAAATGTGCAAAACCTCCAGCGCTGGCCCACCGCAGCCCACATAATAATTGGTGAAGACTGCGCTGTGGGACAACGTGGCGGGTCTTGATATTAGGAGATCTTGAGAAGGTCGGCGATCATGTGATTGAGACGTGTTGACATTTATCAATACGCTTTATCTCTCTCGATGGGCTTTCAGGTTGTACCGCGTGTTGCTCAGCATGATGTTGGACATTTTGCTGCGCATGCTGGGAGCACCAGAGAGCTAAATAGCACAACCGCAAAAAACCTACGCAGTTATATATGTCTTCATTTAAAGCTTTCGTGACTGCAGGGATTCATATTCTTTGTTCTTTCTGTAAAGTCACGTAGAAGGGGAATAATAAAATAATAAAAATATAAAACAATAAAATTCTCACGACGTTTCGACTGCAACACAAGCAATTATCATCAGGTGTGAAAACCACAGCAAGAAAATTTTCTTGATGTGGTTTTCACACCTGATGATGAAAATGTTCTTGCTGTGGTTTTCACACCTGATGATGTGTTGCAGTCGAAACGTCGTGAGAATTTTATTGTTTTATATTTTTATTATTTTATTGTTCGTTTCCCTTCTACATGACTCTACCGAAAGAACCAAGAATATATATCTCGTTTTAATCTTTTAAATATTGTTTGCTGAGCTCGGAAATTGAGTGCAGCTGCATTTGGCTCCATGCGTGGAGCAAAACATTGGACACCGTGCCGAACAATGCGCGGTTCAACCGGATTAAACAAAACAAAACCGCATCGGAGGGCCGCGCAGCACAACCGCGAAAATCTACGCGGTAGTGTACATCAATCGTCTGGTTATGTCACGTTAAATATTTTAACAACCCTCAAATATAGTTGGCTGAACTTACACATTGAGAGTTGCCGCTGCTGCTGCTGCTGCTGCAGAGGGTAGTGGTTGCCATGGTGGGGTTTGTTGGCTGCTGCTGGGAGCAGAGCCCCCGGCTGCAGCTCCCCCGGGAGGGAGCTGGAGCTGTGGGCCGAGCGGGGCCTCCGCTCCGTGTCGCGCAGCCAGGGCCGCCAGGCGCGCTTCTCTCCCTGCGCCACGTGTCAGAATCACAATTCTTTACTTAGGCTGGAGGAATCCGATGGCCTGTGAAGCTCTTTTTTTTTTCACCGATGGCCAGTAGGTGGGCACGGCAGGTCAGAACGTTACAACAAACAATGCAAAAGCACGACGAGGGGTGCAAAGGGCTGGGAAGGTGCCGGCCGCCGCAGTGGGTCCTTGAGCCAGCTGCGCGGCTGCGATGCCGCCTTGCTGTGCACAGGTAAAGCTGGAGGCGCAACGATGTGTCTTTTGTTTGTTTTGTCATTGAGCTCGTGTTGCAACAAGGTGGCGGGAAAACGAAACGTCCTTCAAATTCCCACGTGACCCAACATCCATTGAGGCGCTCTGTTTACATGGTTGAAAGGAATGTGGTAAAGGTGCAGCCCTGCAATTGCTTGCTTGTGTTACTGCTGGTGGCACATTCTCCACCTGAGGAGGGCCTAGAGAGCCACACTAGAGGATCGTTTGGTCTATTCTTCCATTACACGCATTTTTCCTCACCTGGGAACTGACTAACTGTGGTGTACCTATTTATACTGCTGGGTGGACAGAGGTGGGGGGGACTTTAAGAACTTGCCCACGCCCCGGGAGATCGAATCGACCTCTGGATTACAGGTCCAGCGTGATAACCATTGCATCATGGCAGCATCTAAAATCAATTTGTGAAATCACAAATGTTCGGGTGAGCTTTTTTATGGATTGTCACTCTCATTTTAAAATTATATCTGGATGGAGATGATGCATTTTGTATTCCACGAAAATATACGTTTTTTTGCGTTGCTAAAAATTGCATGTTTTCAAGTGGAAAGTTTCGAGTTATTTTGTGTGCCTTGAGTTATATTTTACAGCTTTCAGTGAATTTATTGCTGGGATATTTAATGGGAAGCTCTTATTTTATGGTAGGCATAAGTTGTGGGAGTAATACACGTGGCCTTTTTCTGTGAGCTTTGTCTTGAAAAGAAGATTGCAACTTGTGGCTTAGGAGGCAATTTCCCATACGACTCCCAAAGTAAGCATTAAACTGGCATGCACAGAGCCAATATGGGTTGCCATTTAGGTTTTGTCTGAATCTACCTGAACTATTTCCAAAAGAAATGTACGTGTGGAAAATATAACAGCTGGTTTTTCAGTGTTTTTATGTCGCTTGTAGGTGTCTCTTTTAATTATAATTATGAGAAAAGGCAAAACAAAGCATTAACTTTAGTTATTATGCAATAAAACCCATGGGTCAATGATGTGCTTATTTATATTCAAATACTGAATAACTCTTTGAAAGGAACTAAATCATCACAGTGCATATTTTTATGTTTCTTCTATATATGTGCCCATATTAAGTTAGATAAATGCTTTTAATTATTACGTTCTTAATCATAAATGCATGCATCTTGTAGCAAATTATTTATCTCCAGTGCTCCTCTGTGGGTGTATAAAATGTTTAAGAGCAATGGTTAAACAAAGGTGAAGGGATTCTCAGAAGAGACTTATAACAAATGTCTCTGGAAATTGTGTAGTGTATTTGTCAAAAGCTTATATTTTTTTAAGTGTAGCTTTTAAATAATGAAATTAATAATGCAACTTGGCAAGGTGGGTAATTATGGTTATTATGATTGGAAATTAGCATTGTTAGTCATGTTTGAACATAGCAGCAGTGTGACCTCAAGTGTGTCAAGGTAAACGTCCTCTTACGTACGTTTGTTGAACTTCTTTCGTAGCAAATCGTGCTAATTGGATGTGCGGGTGAAGGTCAACAAACAAAAACTAAAAGCAGACACGCTTACACTGATGACTAGCCAGTCATGTTCTATGGGCATGACAGTCACACTACACGAGGTCAAATAGGAACTTTATGTCCAAATGCAATACTGTGCACTGAAGTTCTCACGGTTACAAATCATTTTAAAAGAAATTAACAGGGTGGCCCAAAAGTCAGCATACATGGGGTTATTTCATTTACTTTAACACTGCCATGAAAACATTGGAATTGTTTTACGTTAATATATTATCAGTTGTCATTATGAATGTCAAGTGTTCTTCTTCCTGTGGCGTCACTTCAAATCCGTCGTTTACAAAACTTCACCGAGAACCCGGAATACAATTTGACGACAAAACGTAATTGATGAACGTTCAATAATTACACCTGTAGTCTTTTAAAAGTCCTACATTCATTTCAAAATAAGAATTCATGCATGCATTCATGTTAGTGGAAGGCAGTTAGAACATTTGTTAAATTTTGTAAAAAAAATATAAAAATAACCGTGTGTGTCCTGACTTTTGGGCCACCCTTTATTATACATTTCTTTTAAAAAAATATATTCCACCACATAAATTAGGTGTGATGCCATGTGTGCAGAAATTATGTTTCTCTAGGGGTTGTTTTTATCAGATTATAATTCCTTGAGATTTTTGATTCAAAACTATATTTGTACATTAATTACAAATAAACGGGACACGTGCAGAATTTATCCACTGCATTCCACAATATATTTACGATAATTTCTCCACGTCTCTCTTTCTGCCTACTTCCACCAAATTGCACTAACTTTATGTACTTGGCACGACGGATGCATATCTGTTAATTAGAAGACCAAAAGAAGAGCTTTAACGACAGACAGTGACTGATGAATAATAGTGACTTTGGAGCAAACAATATTGACGACTGTGAATGATTGTTTGAGATGAAGAGAGCACAAGAATGTGTGCTAGTCGATGGGTGGCAAAGCTTTTTGTGAATCAATGTGGCAGGGTCCTTAGGGGGGTCGAGGACAGACTGCTTGTGACTGACGATATAGTTGGTTGCAAATTGCCCACCGACTTGACACAAGAGGCATATTTGTTAGGTCTATAGAACGACACAGTTGACACATCACAGTGGCATGGGATGCAGTGACGTGACTACCAGCAGGGCCAGCTTACGCTTGATAGTGGCCCAGGGTAGTTATTGTTTGGACGTGCCCGATGGCCCAAAAACTGAATCGTTATTTAAGTTTGGTTCGTATGCTTTATTCATGCCTTTTAATGACAGTGCAGGATCAAAGTACCAGACAAGGAGATATCATTGAGGATGTAAACAATAAGAGGACAGCTTAACGACAGGGGCAGAGGGACCAGGATAGGAGGTGAGGGGAGGAGAAGAGGAGGAGAGGACAAAAGGAGGTGTCTGATTCTACGTGTGTTGAACTTCTTTCCCACAGTACGTAGCCAACCGTGTTAATCAGAGGTGCAGGGGAAGGACGGCAAAACTAAACACAAAAAGCAGTTCTAAGGAAATGAGTTTTGAATCAAGATTTAAAAGTGCATAGTTCCAGTGGCTTCCTAATATTGGAAAGAAGAGCATTCCAGATGGTCGCAGAAGCGCATCTGAAAGCGCTCGATGCGGTGACCATCTTTGTTCGATGGTTAGTGAAAAACGACTGCGAGGTTGACCGGACTTTGCGTGTTGATTTATCCACCTTGGCAACATTAGAAAAGGTATTGTGGTTCATTTGTGGCGAGCACTTTGCGCGTAGGAGTTATCTTAATGCTACAGCGATGTGTTTCAACCATAGCGCAGTACAGTATATATTTAACACATTTTATGGTGATACTGCATTGGCAGTGGTGCACAAGCACAGATAACGAAAAAAAC